AAGGGAGAGAAGGACCAGACCTCAACCTGGTGGGCCAAGACTTGAAGGCAACATACCGGCATGAAGTAGTGAAACAATAGAGAGGTTTTCAGGGCTGGCCCCAATCTCAGCTACATTGACCCCCTCTCCAGAAGAATGCACAACAGGGGACAGGACTGAAGATACAACATGGGGAGAGGGGTGGGTCTGCTCAGAGCACATGGGAGCAAAATAAGAGGGAAGAAGAGAGACAGTGGACCACATCCTGGCCCACCAAGTCCCAAGGACGATATTCCTGCTCAGAGCAGCCAAGGCACAGAGAGAACCATAGGGCTGGCCCCATCACAAGACAGGGTGTCCACTTACTGACTCATAGTTCTATGGGGGATAACACTGGAGACACAGTACAGGATTTGTGCCCTGTCTGGACCTCCCTCCCCCTACTGGGGTGAAACACAAAGGGAGTGCAACAGAGCAGCAATGGAAGCAAAGCAGTGACTACCCTGAGTTATATCCAAAATATACTTTGAGGGCAGAGCTTGGCATTTCATCAGACTTAATCAGAAAACATTTGTAAAGGTCAACAGATAGACCTGGAACTATTTATAGGCTTGTGTGTGTGTGTGTGTGTGTGTGTGTGTGTCCCTATCTATATAAGATAGGCAGGATAAACAATCCCAAGAAGAAAACAATGGGACTGATGGTTCTGGGGAGACATGGGCAAGGGGGAGCTGGGATAAAGAAAGTGGTTGGGAGCCATTAAACCCAGGGACAAGGGAACAACAAATGATCTAAAATTGATGGCAAGGAGGGCATAGAATGCCTGTTGGGGGTTGATCTAGTGCAATCTAGCCAAGAGGAAATACTGAAAGCCAAATGAAGGTTGAACATGATAGTGGGACAAGAAGTAAAAGGAAATACAGAAAAGAACTAGGAGACAAAGGACATTTATAGAGTTATAAATATAGGCACGTACATATATAAATATACTTATATATAATGATAGGGACATAGATCTATGTACATATACTTATAATGCATTAAGGTAGGAGACAGACTTTGGCATCTACTCAAGCACTCCCTCAACACAAGAATACTTTGTTCTAATAACCTGGCATTCTGTGCTGCTCACCTTCCCAGACACTATCCCTGAAGACAAAATGGGTTCATAAGCAAATGTGGTAAAGAAGACTGATGGTGTCTGGCTATTAAAAGATACAGCATCTGGGGTCTTAGAGGCTTGAAGATAAGCAAGCAGCCATCTAGCTGGGAAGCAACAAAGCCCACATGGAAGAAACACACCAGCCTGTGTGATCATGAAGTGCTGACAGGATCAGGTATCAGGCAACAGAAAATCCAAAACAATCATATCAATGGAATGAGGGGTGATGGTGGAGTGGAGACTCAAAGCTCATCTGTAGACAATTGGACATCCCCTTACAGAAGGGTCACAAGGAAGGGACAAGCCAGCCAGGATGCAGAAAAGCACCAATGAAACATAAACATTCCTCTAGTGTTTTAATGCTTCCCCTGCCCCCCACCCCACTATCATAACCCCAGTTCTACCTTACAAATCTGGCTGGACCAGAGGATGTACACTGGTACAGATATGAGCTGAAAACACACTGAATCCAGGACAGACAAGCTCCTAAGGAATGATACTGCAGATAGTGATACCATGAGGTAGGGGGAAAGTGGCGGGGGAGGAAGGCGGAAATGATTGCAAAGATCAATGTATAACACTCCCCCACTCCCCACAAGGGGACGAACAACAAAAACATGAGTGAAAGGAGACAGAGGTCTGTAAGATATGAAAATAATAATTTATAATTTATCAAGGGTTCATGAGGGTGGGAAGATGGGGTGTAAATATGAGGAGCTCATACCAAGGGCTTATATAGATTGTTAGAAGAACTGTAAAAGCCTCCATTAAAATGATTAAAAAATAAAAGAAATGTCTCTCTTTAGTCCTTTTTCTTAGCTCTGTATTTTGACAGTGACATGAGTATAACTTCCTTTTTATTAATTTCCACATAGTATATATTTCATATAGTTTTATTTTTAACTTACAATATCTTTATATTTAATGTGGATTTTTGGTAGGCATTAGCAGGTGGCTCTTACTATCCTATTTGAAAATTTCTACTTTATAATTGATATGTTTACCAATTTAGAGTTTTAAATATTTTTTGTGAATTGATAGAAGGTTTACAGAGATTTCTACTCAACAGTTTTGATTGTAACCCTCACAGTGGAAAATCGCTTGTCCCATTTCCTCTTGGTGTTTCCTCTTGTCATGACTCCTTTTCTCACCCTTCTGAAATTTGTCCTTGGGTAAGTGTTGCCTTTTTTGGTATTAAATGGTTGATTATCTAAAATGTGTGTACTTTCCTTTTGTTCCCCTTGGCCAGTTCGTTTGAAAATTGACTTTGGCTATTCTTTGGTTGAAAATTGAGCCATAGGGTAGAATTCATTTTCAGATCTGAATAGTGATTCAAAGACAATATCTTGGGCATCCAACCAGTCTCTATCCAACCTGATCTTTTCCATGTTTTTACTTCCCCCACTTTAACCAGGACCTCCTCATGTGATCCCTTTCTGAGAAGTTGGTAGTGGCTGCCAGGCACTATCTCTTTCTTCTGGTCAGAACCCTGTTAACTGATGTTTGCAGCATCTGCTGGGCTGGGCTCATTGTTACTGTGTATCTTTGATTTTCTTCACATTTCTTTCCTTTGGACAATGAGAGGCAATATTTGGCTGCTCATGAGCTTTTAAGATTCCGCCTGCTACTCACCAAAGTAGGATGAGTAGAACATTGTCTTTGTTGCCCATTTACTTAATAAGGTTATAGATGTAAACGTAAAGTTATTATCTTGTTTTTATTCATCCTCTTACTTAATTTCTTCTTTTTCTGCCTTTTGGGGGATCAATTTCGTATTTCCTATGATTTCATTTTATATAAAGATGTACAACCCTATGCAGGGAAACCCTTGCAGGGTTACTATGAGTCAGAATTGCCTGGATGGCCATGGATTTTGACTAAGAGTCTTGCTTTATTTTTTCAATGTTTGCTCTAAAGTTGATAATCTTGGAGGAAGATGAGAATTTCTGCTCCCATAAAGATCTGCAGTCTCAGAAACCCTACACACGGTCACGATGAGTCGGAATTGCCTTGATGGCAGTGGAATTGGGTCAAAGATTGCATTACTACATTTTACACAATTTAAGAAAATCTCAACCTATAATTCCCTTCCCCTCCTATCTATTATTGTTATAGATTTTACTTCTACATATGTTATAAACCCATAATTTGTTCAAATGATACTATCATCAAAAATGACTTAAAATTCGAAGCAAAAAAACACATCCTTTTAAATTCTCATAGGTACCTGTCCTCTTCATTTATATTTTCCTTCTTAGGAAATAGCATTTAAACTTTTTGGCAGTATAGATCCGCTGGTGGGAAATTCAATTAACTCTTTTATCATATTAAATCATCTTTATTTCATTTGGAATAGAATTACAAGCTGATTTTTTTTCTTTAACAATTTAAAGGAATCTGGTAAATCTCTTAGCTTGCATTGTTTGGCAAGTAAAGTCTATCCTTCTTTGTTTGTATTTACATAATGGATATTTTTGCTCCCTCTGGTTGCTTTCAAACATTTCTCATCATCACTGCTTTTTAAAACAATTTGATTTTCTAGTATCTGGTATTTTCTTTGCTTCTACTCCTTGACGTCTATTGAACCCCATGAAGCGATGGGTTTATAATTTTCATCCTACCTCAATAAAACATTGTTTTCGTCATTGTTTCAATCTTTTCCTCCACCCCATCATCACTCCCCTCTATTTCTGGGACTGTAATTATATGCATGCTGCACTGCTTGATGAGCCACAGTGGTGCTGTGGGATACACCATCGAAATCTTGGGAACCCACAGCATGCCACAGATTTCATTCTCATTGGCAACTTAGACTAATACGTAAGTGCAAAAGAGGGGACTGAGATGCTAAGAAAATGCATCCCAGCCAGGGCTGTTTCATTCTTTCTAGACACTAATCTTTTTAGAGCTGAAATCAGATTTAGACGCATAGTTTACTGAGACCTCTTCCGTATGTTTTCTGTATTGTAATTATTCTTACGATCTGACTACTAGGAATACAAACTGTCTCCAACCTTATTTTATATTTTCCAAAATGCTGGTCTTCTAATTTTTGGTGCTTCTTTCTCTACCTCAGATAGTTCCACCCCATCAGACACAAATCCACACTTAACGAAAGACTGAAAGGACTCTTCTGGAGATCTCTGGAGATTTCTCCCTGTGCCCTTTTCTTCTCACCATTTATCTACACATTCTTATGCTTTGAATGCTCCAAACTCTGTTTTTTGTTTCTTGAAATCAGTAAGTTTCCAGCTTCTCTTTGGGTACCTCCTTCCAAGAGGGTTCCCTGCTACCTGAACCTGAGCCACGGAGAAGGCGCTGGCATGATCATAGGATTTCCCTTGTTCAGCGTCTAAAAGACTTTGCTTTTTAGGTGTTTTGTTTGCTTCTGTCATTCAGACTCATCAAATGACTAACTCGTGCAAAGTTATGTGTCCAAAATATATGGAAAGCCTCAGTATTTGTTGATTATTACATGCGTGAATAAAACAAGTCTTTCCTCTAGTCTATCTCTATCCCCACAAAACTACTGGATAACAGTGTAGAGTCTGGAGTTTGATACTCTGAGCTAAAATCTTCTCTCTACCACAAAATAGCTGTGCAAATATTCCCTGTGGCTCAGTGTCCACATGTCCACAGTTATGTGTGTAGTATTTTCTCTCACATAGGGCTTTTGTGAGGATTTGATGAGATAATGAAGTGCTTAAAATAGCACATAAGTACTCCAAATATATTAGCTATTATGTACAGAAGCCCATTTAATTTTCGGTTCACTGATTCATAAATTGCAATTCAATTGTGTTCCCAAACTTCAACTCCTTCATGTTATCATAAGAAAATTGCCAGGAGGTGACAGATGTGAAAATGATGCTTTTTATTACAATCACATAAAATTAAATCAGCTACACAAAATTTTCCAAATGCATTGGTGAATTAAAGCTTCCAACCCTTACAATTTTTATACATATACCTATGCATTTATAAATACATACATATGTAAAAGATATATATTTTCTTCTAAAATAAAGTGCCCAAATCTTAATCTGTAGGGGCCATAACAGGGAGGGAAAAAACCATAAAGTCATTATCAGTTATCTACTATACTTCTACAATACAAAATCTGTTTTACAAACATGTTTCCAGTATAATGAAACTTACCCATCTATTATTTTCTGTATTCTCCCAATTGGATGAATTTACCCAAAATATTGAAGTCATGTGGTCAACTCAATAAGTCAGAGGCTAATTTTTCTGTCTGTGACTGACACAGAACAGTGGCCCTCTAATGAAGGGATAGCTAAACTTCCTTGTTATTTCTTGTTTTATCCTCCTACCATGGCGGTAAGTAGAGAGAAATGAATCTGGCATGTCTAACTCTAGACCCTCTAATAGGATTTTATATTGAGCAAATCTCTGGGTTATGGATATCTCCTACTTGCCCTCAATGCTGTATAAATTTATGGTCACTCTGAAAGGACCAAATTTACTCCTCTCACAACAAATTCTTCAACACAATCACCTTCACTTATTGCATGTGCAGCTTTTAAATCATTGAAAAGGCTTCAAGCTATTTCTTGCACTAAATCTCAAAAAAACAAACTCCCCGCCATTTATTCAATTCTACACATTGTGACTCTTTAGAATCATAAGTAGAATTGCCCCTTTGGGTTTCCAAACTATAAATATTTATAAGTGGAAAGCCTCATCTATCTCCCATGGAGCAGCTGGTGGTTTCAAACTGCCGACCTTGAGGTTAACAGACCAACAAGTAACCTGCTATGCAACCAGGACTTCTGTCTTGCACTGAAGTATGGCTAAATAAAAACTGCATGCACTGGTTCCAATTACCTACAATTTTGACCTAAAGTACACTTAGGAATGGATCTTTTCTGTAACTCAGACTATCTGTATAGTTAGGCTTTGGTGAAAGATTCCTAATGCTTTTGTATCACCATGAGATTAATGAGAAGCTGTCTAGCAGTATTTGAACTGAGAACTCTTGCTGCCTGTTATAATTACATAATGTTTGAGTCAGAGAAGTAGCTCAACCTGAACTCTATTACAAAGGAAATATTTCAACATGTTTGGATTTAAGATAATTTGAAAATCCTCACTTCAAATCTTAACAAGGCGTTATTTCCTGGTACAATAACTAAGTGTCCTGTGCTTTTACTGTGTTTTGTGTTATCCTAGACTTTTAAGGAAATCATTTGTAATCTTTGATGAAATGGAGTCTAAAAATGACTATCTCTGAAAGGACTTAAGCTTAAGCAAGGTGAAGATGCCGAAAAACAGCTGAATATGAACCCAACCAAATTAGAAGTGTATATTCAAACTGCATTAAAGTCTATCTATTCAAGCAGGACAGAGGGAAATTGTCAACACAGCAAGTGCCTATAATACTCTAAAACTTCCCAACACATGAGAGGCTGGGAAGGGGAGGATGCCCCAACATTTCTCAGAATCAAAACAAGGAATGAAGTATTTCGTTTCATTCTGGGAAGGAAAGAAATAGGCGGGTGTTTCCAACTACTTGACGTGCGTCTGTAGGAACTGAGCTATCTAACTACTGATTTTAGTGAGCATCTTGTTGATGGCCTGCTTGACGTGTGTGGTGGAGCTGCGTCTCCTCGTCTTGCCCTGGACCATCCTCCGGCGACGCACCTCCCTGCACAGCTCGTAGAATATCTCAGTGATGTTTCCTTCCCCAGTGCAGGCAGAGCACTCATAAAAAGCACATGACAACTCTGTTGCGAGCTTCTCTCCTTCTTCTGTACTAACCTGTCGGGAGTGGTCCAAGTCTGCCTTGTTCCCAACCAAGATGAGAGTCACATTTTTGGGTTTTTTGATCTCATCTAGAATGTTCTTAAGTGGCAGCACTTCCTCAAAACTTCCTCGGTCGGTAATGTCATAGACCAGCACGAAGGCTTCCCCCCATCGCATGTGCCCTTCCCTCTGAATGGCGTCTTCCTGTGGGCAAAGCAAAATCACGGTCAAAAGGTCTGGAAATAGCTGCCATCGGTAGGGTTGCTCTGAGTCAGCATCAATTTGATGGCAGTGAGTTTTGCTAACATTGATTCCTTCATTACTGTGTTATCAGTTGCAATTGAATCCACCGCCCCTAATACAACACACGAAGGGTAGCTAGAATTTATTGGTAGTCTGAATGCATCTGTGCGGACAATTGCTCTGGAATGGAAGCATCGCTTACTCACACACAGGCTTTAATTTTCTGCTTCTAATTTTTTCTTGACACATCATTAAATCTGATCACAAGATCTATAAAGAAACAATGGTCTTAGTTGAGCATATTGCCTCAGATTTTTAATCACAGTTAATAAATGGACCAATTAGTTACAGACAGATCATTCTTAACCTACCCTTTAAGGATCAGAAGTAGTCACAGCTCAATGAAGTTCTGTTTTCTTAATTGTCACTTTGCAGATTATAGACAATTAACCAGCAGAGGAAGAACAACAGTGAAGAATTATACAGGATGTCAAAAGTTAAAATGGGGTTTTTACTTTATCACCCTAAAAATGTTACCTAACCCCAAACATGGTACTCATTTGAAATAGTTCACAAAGGGGTCGGGGGCGGGGGAGAGGAGTGGGGAAGACAAGCCTTGCCTTTCCAGGCTCAAACGATCCTGGAGGCATATAATGCCCTTCTCTGCCGCCTCAGCTTTTACGAGACGGATATTTTTTGTTAATAGCTCCTAAAGGAAGGAGGTGGGTGACGTGTAGAAAAGTGGACCATTCGTTGCAAGAACATTTCTTGGATTAAACACGGGGGTCACCCTAGAGTCACGTGTCCCTGCAAAGGAACCAGCGGTCTTGTTCCAGCGATCACTCCTATCTTTCGGGACTGAATTGGTCTAGGAAGCGGATGCTGTGTAACCTCAAAACAAGTCTCATAGCAGTTATTTTACAAACAAGCTGTTTATTTCTATGACTCAGACTTTTACTAGGGTGGGTGTTGGTAAGATACTGAAAAATACTTCAGAAGAGATTTCTAGAATAAAGCACTCTGAAGCAAACAAAATTAGCTGCACAGTCCTAGGGATCGACGTGCTTCGCTGTTATACTGATCCTGGTGGTTGAATATAAATTTGGAACAGAATATTAGGGAGCCTTAAGTGGCTTGTGGGGAAATTCTGTTATCTTCTAATTATATTTTCCACAAAATTTGTGAAGCCCCTGTGCATATAAACTACATCTCTCAATGAATCATATTATACTTAGAGTCTGATAACTTTCAGTAAAGCCACCTAAGCATTTCCAAAACATATTTTAAGATTGAAAACGTATCAGTATTTTATTATCTCATAAAACATAGGTGAACAATTCTATTCTAGACAACATCATGTAAATATTATACTTTCAAACACCTCCTTATTCACATAAGGATGCATACAAGAGTAGAGATATGTTAATATATAAAATGGATAGAAATCAAGAGGAAAGTCTTTTGGTATCACATAATGCCAAAGTTAATTGATGGGAACATGTCAATTTTGTTCATATTACATATAACTTATTTTTATTAGAGGTAAAAACATTTTAGTCAAAGTCTTTATTCACCTGTCCAGCAGTATCGAGTATCTCCATGGAAACCACTTCATCATCAATAGTTGCTTGGTGTCGGTAGGTTGACTCTGGGGGTGGGGGGGAGAGAGATAAAAAAGGATGATGTATGGTTTAATGTGATCCTTAAAATTTTAAAAAGAGGAAGTATGTATGTCATGTAGTATAAGAGATTGTGTAATCGAGGAAAGAAAGACTACGTGTTCTGTTTTTATATTTTCAGAGTCCCTGGAAGAAACAAGGTCTGATTTGGAAGCTACTGGCTTTCATATTATAGCATACGAGATTTCTTTGCTTTTTTCTTCCTGTATCATTTCCCATTAAGACTCCATTCTGTCCTCCGACAAGTTTAGCTCACTAGTTCTCTCTTCCATACAAACCGAGGTGATTTCCACAAAATGCATTTTGCCCGTGTTGTTGTTAGGTACCTTTGAGACATTTCCGACTCCTCGCCACCTATGTACAACACAACAAAAACCCTGCACCACCCTCACATTCATTCCTGCTTGTGCCCATTGTTGCAGCCACTGTTGTCAATCCTTCTTGTTGAGGGGTTTCCTACTTTGTGCTTTACCAACCATGGTGTCTGCTTGAGAAACTGTCCCTCCTGGTGGCATGTCCAAAGTCGATGAGAGAGTCTCATCCTCCTCCCTGCTAAAGGAGCATTCTGACTGTACTCCCAACACAGATTTCTTGGTTCTTCTGAAAGTCCATGAATTATTTAACATTCATTGCCAACACCACAGTTCAAAGGCACCAACACTTCTTTGTTCCTCCTTGCTCACTGTTTAGCCTTCACATGCTTATGAAACAACTGAAAATAGTCAAAGTAATATCCTTGCTTTTTTGCCAATTTGTTTGTTTGTTTGTTTTGCAGCAGCAGATTTCCCCAAGGTGATACAATGTCTGATTTCCTGACCACTGATTCCCATAAATTGGCTGTGGATCCATTTATTTTGATGGTGCTCATTGGTCCAGCTGGGTGGACTTTTGTTTTTCTTTACATTGAATTGTAAGCTATAATGAAGGTTATATTCATTGATCTTCATCAGCAAATATCTCAGGTCCTCCTTGACTTCAGCAAGCAAAGTTTTGTTATCTGCGTATTAGAGGTTATTAATGAGTCTTCTAGTAATCCTGATACAAGGTTTTTCCTCTTGTAGTTTAGATTGTCAGATTATTTGCCCAGCATACACATTGAATAAAAAGGCTGATGAAAGGATACAACCCCGATGAACACTTTTCCTGATTTTAAACCATGCAGCATCTCTATGCTTTGTTTGACCAACTGCCTCTTGGTCTATGTACAGGTTCTGCATGAGCGCAATGCAGTACTCTTGAATTCCCATTTTTCATAATAGCCATAGCTTGTTATGACCCACACAATCCAATGCCTTTGCATAGTTAATAAAACAAAGGTATAACATCTTTCGGGTATTCGCTGCTTTCATCTATCTGTCATTAGCAATGATATCCCTCATTCCATGTCCTCTTTTGAATTCAGTTTGAATGTAGGGCATTGCACTGTCAGCACATTGCTAGAACTGGTTTGAATTAACTTCAGCAAAGTTATACTTGGGCATGATACAGTCTGGCTCAGCTTTCGTTGGGATAAACAATATATGAATCTCTTCTCGCCAGGTGGACAGGTAGCAGTCTTCCAAGTTTCTTGGCATTGATAAGTGAGTGCTTCCAGTGCTTCATCAGCTTTTTGAATAATTTAAATTGGTATTCTATCAATTCCTGGAGCTTATTTTTTGCTAATGCCTTCAATTTAGCTTAATCTTCTTCTTTTAATAATATGGCATTTTTGATCATGTATGTGGAACAGTTGTTGATACAGTGACGCTTCCTTTGCCATTCAGTATTGTAGCTCAAGGCTTGAAGCTCTTCTTCAGTTCTTTCAGCTTGAGACAAACTCTTTTCCTTTGGCTTTCTTTTTATTTATTTATTTAGTTAATTTAATTTAGTTTTTTAATAGTTTTATTAGGGTCTCATACAACTCTTATCACAACCCATACATACATCAATTGTGTAAAGCATATTTGTACATTCATTGCCCTCATCATTCTCAAAGCATCTCCGCTTAAGCCCCTGGCATCAGGTCCTTTTTTTCGCCTCCCTCCCCATTCTCTCCTCCCTCATGAGCCCTTGATAATTTATAAATTATTATTTTGTCATATGGGTCTTTGTGCATTTAGTCATGTAACTATTTTGTCTTTTGAGCTTCCCTTTGGAATCTTCTGTTTGACATCTTTACTTTCGCTTTTCCTTGTTCTAAAGCAAGTTGTAGAATCTCTTCTGACATCCTTTTTGGTCTATTCTTTCTTTCCTGTCAGTTAGGATACAGTCAATGAGGCCTCTGTATGGGCATGGCCTTCTCCTGAGGATTCTGGGAACTCTTGTATTTCCTCCTGGAGGCAGGAGACACACACTCTCTCTCTGCTCACTCCCTGGGAGACACAGCAGTTGACAAGACACATGGAACTACCCTTAGTACCCTGAGCTGGACAAGCCAAGTGGAGACCCCTGCCAGTGCTAAGATGTCTACAACACCACTGGATCCACAAGACTTCCCACCCACTGGCCTGTGATCTTCCTGCAGTGGGTGCCATTGCATTTGTTTCGTGATTCTGAAGAGGACTTTATAGCTTGGTATCGGACATGTGGGCTAATATTGGACTTAGGGACTTGATTTGGACTGGGTTGGGATGTTTTCCCAATATTCAACTGCTCTTATTTTTAAAGCTCTTTCTTATACACATATGAGTGTTTATGGATTTGTTTCTTAGTCTACACAGACTAACACAGTGATCTTTATTTTCTTCATGTATGTTATTCTTGATGTCATCCCATAATGCATCTGGTTTTTAGTTATTAGTGTTCAATGTGCCAAATTATTCTTGAGATGTTCTCTAAGTTCAAGTGGAATATACTTAAGGTCATGCTTGGTCAGAACCAATCATTGAGGTTGTGAAGATCAAGCTTTCCCATGGCGAGAGACAAGAAAAGACTTCAGATATAAGAAACTACAGAACACACAAGGAGGGAAAAGCCCCACATCTAAATCATTATATTAAAACTTAAGATTAATGGCAAAGAAAAATTTAAAGGAATTTGGACAAAACTCTCTCTTGGAACACCAGTGTGGCCAGAATGTTCTTTCGAGGTAAGGATGGTAAGACACAAGTACTTTGAACATGGCATTAGGAGGGACCGGTCTATAGAGAAAGGCAGCATGCTTGGTAGAGGGTCCACAAAATACAGAGGAAGACTTCAATGAGCTGAAGTGACACAGTGGCTGGAGTGACAACAGTTGCGAGGATGGATGGTGTAAGGCCTAGCAGTACTTTGTTCTGTTGTAGAGGGACGCTGTCAAAGGGTTCCCACTCATAGTGATCCTGACAGCGACAGCAGAGGTTACCTGGGGTTTGCAGCAGGTAATGAGTTGGGCTACTAGCACCAAGGATAGTAATTTGAAACCACCACGTGCTCTTTTGGAGAAAGATGAATGTTTTTGCTCTGGGCATAATTTACATCCTTAGACACCCAAAGTGGGAAGTCCTATTCTGTTCTATAAGGTCAGTATGAATTGGAACTGACTCGATGACAGTGGGTGGGAACAAGAACAGAATAAAGCATGTCATTTACAAAGAGAAAAGACTAAATTTAACATTGGATTCTTCTTCCATGGAAGTAAATTCAAGAGGCTCACAGAGTAACACAAAGCAATAAACGTCACAGCAAAAGCAATCCACAATTGAAATTCTGGATGCAAGTGGGGGAAGGAGAATAAAAGCAGATATCAGTGAGCTCATGTCTTATTTCCGAAGGTAGTAGAGTTAGGGAACAGGAAATAAGTGAAATATTCAACACAGTAAGCTACAGAAGGAAAAACAAGATAAAACCTAGACGATATCAGGGGAAGCGGGTGGTGGTGGTAGAAAAAAAACCAGCAGAATTATTAGAAGCTTAGCAAAACCACATAGTGCTTGAAAAGATGAAAATTTTCTAAAAAGTAGAGGAAAGGTAAAAAATTTGGCAAGCCAAAATGAAAAAGAGGAAGCTAACAAGACATTTTACTGAAATAAAAATAGAACAGTAACTGTATACTAATACATGTCAAATCTCAAAATTCTGAGCATATGCAAGAATTGGTCAGAACAGTATTAGTATTAATAACAAGAAACACCAGTACAAAACTAAATGAGGCCAGTGGCCCTTAAATAAATCTAAATGGTAAGTGCAGATCATTGCTCAACCTAAAAGCAACTGCTTCCAGATCGTTATCTGATCTTTGTTTTTAAAGTTTTTATTGTGACTTGCGCGACGGTTTACCTAGCAAATAAGTTTTCCATTAGCATGCACATATGCCTTGTGTTTCCTGTCAATTCATTACAGTTTCCACAATGTAACTTCACTCATCCCATTTCCTCCTTCTTTCCTAAATCTTCTGCAGTGTGTTCCTGTGAACTCAAATGGTTGACTACTATAAGGTGTACACCCCTCCCTAATACTATTCTTACCGCTTAGAGACCTATCTTTTATTGACTGAAAAATGAGCCAAGTTCAGTTTCAGATCTGACGGGAGGTGTCTAAAGGCTATAGTCTTTTACCACTCTTCTTTCCTCTGGACAGGAAGATCCCAATATTTTCACCTTAAATGGCTACTCATTAGGTTTTAAAACCTCGGTCACTATTTACTAAACAAAATGGGATGTAGAATATTGTCTTTGAAACCTGGCATGCCAGTTGACCTCGGTGTCCTCTGAGACTATGGTCCTTATCACTTACATCCAGCAACGTATTCCCTCCAGGGGTCTGGTTATGTCTAAGAAGTATTCATAACTTTGTTAACATATCCATGAATATATATGCAGCAAAGGTAAATATACTTATATAAATACATATGCTTGTGGACATATGCCTAACTTTCCCTCCCACACCTGCTCAGCCTGCGCGTCCATCCAACCATTTACTTATAGATCACTACGATTGCAAGATTGTGTATATTATTACAGTATTTATCTCTGTTGCCTTTAACTCTTGAAAACCTCCCAGTGTCTTCCCC